ATTGTTATTTGCTATATCATTTTATTCGTAGGTCCGATTCAGATGATTCTTAGACCGTTGGAAAGCTCTTGGACTCTATTTCAAATTGAGATAGGATTTGAGTAGCTTTGGGGTAATTAAATTGGGTAGACTAGGAAAATATGGTCCTAAGAGTTCAGAAAACCATAAAATTATATATATATATATATATATCAAACTACGCAACGCCTATAGGCAAAAATGAACAGTGATTATGCTTATGCTAAACACCGTTCAAAGTTCATCATACGGTCTTAGTTATTTGGTAGTATTTTAATTTTAATTTTTTTTCAACAAATCGGAATGATCTGAAATTTGGAGCGTGTGTTCATAAAACATAGGAGAATCTAATAAAAATACAAATACAAATAATTTGTAAAATACAATTTGATCAAAATACCTCCCCGTAAATTTATGGGGGTAATTGGGTCAATTTATAATTTGTAAAATAATTTTTTAAATTTTTTTATTAGGTGCACCTCACTAAGATGCGCACACGCTCCAAATTTCAGATCATTCTGATTCATAAAAAAAATATAAAAATTGAAACAGTACCAGACAATCGCGACCTTGCGATGAACTTTAGAAAATATATATATATATATATATTAGGGATTAGGGACCCTTCTCGACGAGGATGTTCGCTTTCGTCGATCATTTGATGGAATTCTCCTCAGATGTGTCTATACAAAAGAGATAGGCAAAGTACTCGAAGAAGTGCATTCAGGTATCTGTGGGCTGCATTAGTCTGGCCCGGAACAAGAGGTTACACCAAAAAGAGGTGAGGTGAGGGTGCACAAAAAAAGAGAAAAGAGAAAGACGTACATGAGGGACTACTAAGAAAAAAAGAAGCAAGTGAACTCGAGGGTGCACAGGGTGAAAGTGGTCATGCAGGGGCAAGTGATTTGGATTTGTAGAAAAAAAATTAAAATTCAACCAGTAACGGACATCTGTGATCATCAGATCGACCCAGATTCAATCTGGGCCATTGGGCTTGTATGTTCATATGCACTAGTGGGCTAATCCCAACTTTTTCATAATATATATATATATATATATATATATATATTA